TCCAATTGCACGTTCCTTGGGCTGATCGATCTTGTGGTCCAGCTCTTTCTGCCTCACCAGTCATGGCTCCCACCAGTTATTCTCTCTAAAAATGTTTTACAGCCAGAAACACAACAAGCTAATCTGCTGCTTTTTCTGTCTTCTGAAATGAGTAAACCCAAAGCACCTATAACTGCTTTTATGGAGATTCATTACAGATTGCTGGGGGTGCATGTGGTCCTCTGTGCTCCACCCCATGGGAGGGCAGCAGGAGCTGCCTGCTGAGAATGCAACCACACCAGACCTAGAGTTCAGGGGAGTTATTTATTCCTGCAGGTATAGTGTTGGAAGAATGGTACCATAAAAAAGGATGGCATTGCAAGAGGTGAAATTCCTTCAGACTTTCAGAAGAAATTCGCTTCTACAATTCCAATGATGTACTTTCTATTTTGATAGTGGATACTTCACAGTTCCCTTGGCACTGAGCCATTTTAGACTGGTGCTTTACCAAATCAAAATATGGATTTGCCTTTGTTAGATATTGGCCCTCCTTCCATCTCTGTGTTAACAGCAATTGCCTAATTTATAAAGGTTTTTGCTGATGGTTACTGGGTTGTGACCATTTCTAGTGCCCTTCAGACACAAGAGCAATTCATGCTATTGATACTGCTCTTCAAAACTACTTTGGAAAATCTTTGACACCTCCCTTGTGGCTGAGATGGACAAAAGCAGCAGAAACTCTCCTTTGTTATTTCACTGCCCTATGAAAAATTGAAACTTGAATGATTAATCCAATGGCTCTTTCTTCCTAACATTTCCCCTCCATATACTAGTTTTGATATAAAATGTGGTATAACTTTTACTTAAGAAAAACAAAATGTAAATTTGCAGAGTAAAGACAACTTCAGTACTTAATTTATTGGCTGTTGGAGAAGGTTAATTTGCTATTCACCAAATATTCCTGCCCCTGAAACTTTCAGAATCTATAAAGAAATCTGTTACTGAGGGAATATGAACTGAATCAAACTGGAAGGTTTCAAGGTAATTCAGAATTTATCTGCAAATCTTTTTCTGCGATTGATGTGTTACACACCATTTTGACTTCAAAATAATTAATGAAATTTAGAACTGAGTTTATAGATAATTAAAAATTAGATATGTATAATTAAATAAAAGGTTCAAAAACTGGCACAAAGTGAGCATAGAGTTCTTACACTTGGACTGGACATTGCTACTTTTGTGTGACAGTGAGGGCAGCAAAAGAGGGCACCTGCAGATCTAAGGAGACATGGGGGAACAGAGGGCATTCCTTAAAATAGAAAGATTTGGTATCATTTTGGTTGATGTTTTACAGGTATGTTATCATTGCTAGCACTCAGTGACACTTAAAGGTCTAAATGTGCATGTACCATGCGTAAATTGTGGAGCTGATCTGTTAAAAGACAGCAGCTCGAGGTTATCTGGGCACAAGCTCCAGTCCTGTTACCCTGGAAAGGCTTTGGGACCAGGCTATGGACTGGCCCACAGCCACAGAAAGAGGGAGGGCAGAGGAGAAAGCTGTAGGAATTTGTATCCATTACACAGAGGTGCTTCCATGCTGGGAATGTCCCCCCATCACGCAGGTACCACAAAGAGTAGGGCATCATGCTTTACCTACTTCTCTTTTGTTCCTTTTCAGGCAGATCTAGGCCTTCTTCACTCAAAGCTTGTGACATGCAGGAATTCACCTAATCCTTCAAAAACAATCAAACCCAGTCAAATGTTCTCCAAGTGAGGATTTTTTAGTATTTCTTCCATGACGAAACACAATATTGAGGGTTTTATACATGTGCTTGATCACTCTCACTGTCTGCTCATCACCCCCCAACTCCTCAGGTGGTGGCTGCTTTAAATTGTATTTGTTGGAGGCCAAAAAGCTTTCAAAGATATAGATATTTGTGTCCTACTGATTGGTTGAAAACCAAGAGATCTCATCAGCACGTTCTGAAAGGGAAAGCTGACAAACACCTTTGTTGTAATTCAGAAATTCCTCTTGGAGAGATGTTAGAAATCAGTTGGTTTTGCTGCTTTTACTTGTTAAGTAACTTGATCACAATCTTTGTAAAAGTTAACAAATACCTGCCTCTTATAGCAGATATTTGCATCATTACTTGTGTAAAACAAAAATCAGCAATGAGGCACGGGGACTTTAGTGAGATATTAAGAAATGGAGGAGGTTCCAGCTTTGTTGGTCTCACTCTTCCATCTTCGAGAGGCCCAGAGGGGAGAACATGTGCAAAGAGATAAGGAGAAAGCCACAGCTGGATCGTTGTTTCCCCACCTATTGGCTGCACACCAGTGCCAAGCTCTGAGATCTTCCCCTGCATGCAGCATGCACTGCACAGCTCTGGGGCACAAACACAGTGGAAAAGTTCATTTAAGTAATGCTACTTTGTTTTAGGGGGTATGCAGGGGTTAGTGAGTTCCTGTCCTTCAGCAGACACTTCCAAAATAACATGACTCATTTTCAAAAGGATGTCTGAAAGGAAAAACATGCCCAGCAAATAATTCCACCCACAACCTGTAGAGGGAAAGAATCTCTCAAGGGCTCAGCTACTTCTCTCTTCAAAAAAATACATTGGAATTTACCTTAGTATCCAAAGAAGGAAAATCCTTATTGACACTTAAAAGAGTATAATCATTTGCAAACCTGTGGCTCTCCAGCTCCCTCAGTTAGCTGCTCACCCTCCTTGCACCTGAGCAGGTTAACCTGACCTTGCAAAATGATCTCATCCTCTTCTGTTCTAGCACTGGCATTGTAACACATGCCAGCATTGAAAGGATTTCACAAGAGTGCCACAGGAACTTGGGGCACTGGGGGACAATCCATGGCTCTGTTCCTTGCCACGACAGCAGAAGAGAAATTAGGGAATCAAAGAGCATGGTTGAAACACTCTTGTCCCTTTCTTGTTCTGATGCTGCTTCCATCTCCTGTGTATTTCCTGCTTATGCAGGAACTGAATCCCTTTTTTTACTCACACAGGTGTCTTTCCCCTTTTACCCAATTTTTTGTTCCATCAGGTTGCATTATTTTAGACCCTGAAGGAAGTGATCCTTTTAATATCAACCAGCTCTCTTGGACCCCTGTTCCCTTCAGGGCCTGTTCCTATGGGATCGTTCCAAGATCTCTCAAGAGGCAGCCTGGAGAAAGCCTCATCCTCTCGTGCTCAGGTGGCCTGTAGCAAACACCCACAGCAGGTCACCCTTGCTACACTGCCCTACGAGCAGAGCCCATAAATCTGGACTCACTCATCATCCACCTCCATGTAGACTTTGATACATTCCCGGTATTGCCAGCAGATCCACGGTGCCTTCCTGTGGGTCTGTGTTTCCCAACCAGCACAGCTCTGCAGTCACAGCAACAACAGAGCCCTGGCACTGTGCACAGACACTGCCTGGAGAGCCTGACAACCTCAGCATCATCCCAAACAAGAGAATTCCATGGTGCTTTCCTAGGCTGCCATGACCTGGCATCTCCACTGGTCATGAGAATCTCTGGAACAAAGATTCTCAAACAACCGGCATCATGTCCAAGCAGCTCTGTAAGCACCATCACTGCAGCAAAAACACAAATGATGTTGGAGCTTTGTTTTAAAAAGGCAGGGGCCTCTAGTTCTCAGCTCTGCAGCAAGGGTGATGGGAAATTCAGTGTGAATGGGCTTGGGGCTTTCCAATATACAGTGCTCTCAGGCTGGAAAGCCCCACCAGACACTCGTGCTGGGATGCCAGCTGCAGACAAAGGCAAGGAGAAAGGGAAGGGAAAGACCAAGTCACCTGGGTATAAACAAATGAGAAGTTACACTTGAACAGCCACAGGGAATGAGACAAAAGAACAAAGCACCTTCCACCGTAAAAGAAAAAAAAAGACATTACACACAGGCAAGACAAGTGCAGAAACAGAAGAACTGAACAAACAAAAATACATCAGCTTAATTTTCAGAAATTTACTAAAATGCACACAGATTTGTCACAAAAACAGTTGAACTCTACTGTATTTCAACAATAGGTTTATTTTAAGAAACATAACATGACATTAAGTAAAAATGCAAAATTGTGCAATTATGGCAAAATGTTTAAAAATCCACACATTTGCCCTCATAGGACTACAGTACTTCTTACTAACATACCTGAGCACTGAATGTTGGATGCCACTTCTCAACAGCCTCGCAAACAGGGAGCTCTTGGATCTCTTGTAGAACATACACACACTGCATGTCTGGTGCACCAAAACTGCTTTGAGTTATTCTAAATTTCAGTGATGGAAGCAAGTGGAAATTACAAAATGTTTCCTTCTAAAGTAACTAATAATTTTGGAAGAGATTTACACTCACCTAAGTTCTTACAACACTAGAAATTCATTTCATAAAGGGAAATAAACTAATGCAAAAAAAAACTTCAAATGAGCAAAACGCACAGATTACTGCTCAAATATTATCAGTACCTTTGGTGCAATTATTTTTTTTTTTTTTGTGCTGTGCAAGTTTACTTAAGCCTGACTCTAAAGCAAAACTTTACCAGGAATCTGACTTTCAGCATAACGTAGAAGCATTTAAGAATTGGCAAAATGTCACAGCTACATTACTGTCTCAACAAACTCCTCATGCAAAAGATTTAGTATATTCTACTCCCACAGCAAGTTCCAGGATTTAGCTTTCAAACACATGACAGACTTGGATCACACCCTCAGTTTGAATGGTTAAACAGAATGGAGATCTTCGTACTTTAGTGCAGATAAACAAAATTAACAAACCTACTGCAGAATTAACCACAGCATATTGTACTTCTATACATCACATGACCAGTCAACTGCTAACTCAATTCTATTTCATAGTTTCAAGTAATATATTGAAATTTGTTCTACTAAATAAATATAGATTGTCAAAAAGCAGCAAGAAATCTTGTAAATATTCAACCAAGCTCAAAAAAAAACCAAAAAAAAGAAAAACAAACAAAAACAAGGAAAAAGTTACATAACACTTTGCAAAAATAAAAAGGGTCTCACACACAAATGCAACACTGTTAGGGAGGGTGCTTCAGAAAGCTTGCAGCTAGAGGCCTACAACAGCGCAAAGAGAGCTAGCCAAGGACTAAGGATCATTAGTTAAAAATTAAATTAGTTGTACTTTTCAGAAAACCCCTTATTCTTGGCTATGCATATAGATAAAACTAAACAAAGAAGCAATACACCTCAACACTTGGAAAATGCAGTCATAGCGAGAATTGCCAAATTCAGGAAAAAAAAAGAACAAAATGCAGGTGCTCGCATTGGAAGAAGAGTTTGGTGAATCTCTGGAAGATGAGGTATGTAATGCAAAGAGGCATTTTTATTTTGCTTCTCATTTCACAGTTTTTTGTTTGCTTTTGCCTCTCAAAACATTTTGTGCAAGAATTAATAAATAGAACCAGGCAAGTATTTTCATGTATTAGGAAGATTCCATTTGGGATCAGGAAGACCACATAGTAAACAAACATTATCCAAATCCTCAGCCATGCCAGGGGGATAAACAATGAGCTAAATATTTGGCTGACTGAAGTATCAGCTGTTAAGCCAGATAATGGTAAGCACTTTCAGGCAGTGATGGCCAGTGCCATGTCAAGTTAACTGGTTTACTTAGGTCAACAGGAAAAACAGGAAAGAGTAAGATAACTTAAAGCTCTGCAAAAAGTAGAGCTGTAAGAAACCTGGTAAATTACAGCTGATGCAAGTTTTAGGAGTCCTCTTTTCCCTTTTAAATCCAATTTTCACTACTGAAGTAAAGGCTGAACTTTGAACTTATTTACTTTTTAAAAATAAGTTAAATGTTAAATACATAAAGAAAATTGTTGCAATATATTCCTTATTCTGTATTTCCCCAAAGATTATTTAAGCCATGGATGCTTAATGTCAATTTTGCTTTTATACACACTGGATAATGCTGACAGCTCAGTAGTGCAATTTTTCACATTATCGATCAGAAGGAAAGAGAAGATATTTGGGGGCTCGACTGCAAAGAGAAAAGAAAAACAACTTGCAAAGTTAAACCACACTTTTCCAAATCACCAGAGCACATGCCAACTCTACACATAGCACTGTACTGTAGTGGAGACAGAATGAACACTCCACACAAAGGGAAAAAAGTAAAAGAGAATCAGTATTATTAAGGCCATATCCTGTCACCATTCTGTGCAAGAACACCACTGCAGTAAAAATGTTATGTTAGAAAAGACAATCTGATGACAGGACAGGGCCTGAAGACAGACACACACTCCATGGAAAATAACAGGCTATCTTAAACAGTAGCAGAAGGCTGGCCCAGTTGAGACAAACAAGTATTAAAAGTGTACTAGCACCATCAAATTTTGGGTTAAAGCCCTTTACGGGGTGAAAAAAAAAGGTTTTAATCCGTGTTAAAAAAAAAAAAAGTTTTTACAGCACTACACCTATGTGGCAAAAAAGAGGTGTTGGGTTTTCTCCCCACTATCATTAAGCTCAATCTCAACAAAAATCCACAGACAAGAACTGGTACAACAATATGAACAGGCCTCCATCCGGGGCAAAGGTACTCCACAATCCAATTCTGACTTGAGTTTTTCTCCCAAATTGCAGTGCACAAACAACATCACAAACATCTTAGCAGACTTCAAAAACAGTACAAAAAGAAGAGCTCATTATGCATCAGGATCTACCATTCCTCTCTATGTACTTTCAATCTATATTTAAAAAAAAAAAAAAAAAAAAAAAGAAAAGCAACAAAACTTAGTGATATTGCCTCAAATTTTACCCGTATTAAAAAAAAAAAAAGAGAAAAAGAAGAAAAGTCACTTCAACACATCTTGGACATCCTTAACTATTAATGCTAGATTTTCTTTCACTGTAGTGCATAGTTATCCTTGCTCTTCCACTTAATTTGCTTTTACCACAAAAAAAAACCTTTAGTATGACATGATTAAGTGTCTACCAGAAAAAAATTGCTGATAATTGCACTTTGTAACCTCCTTCTCATTTCCCAGGAAAATATTAGTAAATATGAAACTGAATCAACAATTCCCTCCCTGGACTGCAACCTTTAAAGAGCACCCATCCCCATATACAAAAAACTGTCTGTTTCATCTTACAATAAATACTGACAGAATTTCTTTGTTTTCTTTTAAGACATGTTTTCTCTAGCATCAAATTACCACTGAAATCACTAAGGCCTGTTACTGAGAAAAAAAAAAAAATTAAATAACTTTCTGAAGACACTGCGGATACAATTTAGCAACAACACATTCAAAATGCCGGCCTAAATCCCAGAGCCTGTCTGGAGTCTCGTAGACTTTCTGCCATTGGTCAGTGACCTCATCGTACTGGTAGAGAGAATTCTTCCTGCTGGTTCTGAAAACGTGCTCTTCAACAGTGACTTGAGTAGCTCTGACAAAGAGATGGAGTTTGTTTTTGAGGAGAACAAGTTTTATGTATGGGTTGATGGACTGGTCACAGGGGAAGTCTTTTTTTCGAGTCCACTTGTTCTGCTCGATGTCGTAGGCCTCGACGGTGAACATGCGCTGATGGTTCCCGCACGTGCCGGCTATGTAGTAGATGGAGTCGTTGTACACGGTCGCCAAGCCTTGGATTCTAGGCACAGTCATGGGGGTCAGAAAGCCCCAGTAATCCTTCTGAGGGTCGTAGCAAAGGAAAAACTCCCCTGAAAAGAGAGAGGAAAAGTAAAACGGAGCTCATGATTTGTTCCCAGGCCAACAGCTGTGTGGCAATGAAGCTCTCGGGTATGTTCTTCCACAGAGAGAAACACTTTAAATTTTCTAGAGCCTGGATCCCAAAACAAACACCCCAGCATCATCAACTGCTTTCCTTTACAAAAATATTAATAGTATGACTGAAACCTACTTTGAGTTTCTGTTTCAGCTGAAGCAGAGGGAATTTGAAGCATATCAGAAACACATTTTACAGTTTCTAAGTATCCTCTTTTACTTCTAAACCACGCTTATTAATCTGGGACAAAACCCTTCTAGATTCCAGTCTTGAAATGTCTGAAGTACATTTGTTTCACTCTTTAACATCTTCACAATGTGTCATCTGCAGATGGGGATCTCACAATTATTTGCTCAGGTTTAGCAGCTTTCATACCCTGAATTCTGTCTTATACTACATACACACAGATGTTGAAGCTACTGGTATCAGGTGGCTGGGTTACACATTTAGACTGATTTGCTTAAAAGGAGGCAAGGCGAGAACCTGCATGAAGCTACTGATTCACAGTTAGATTTGTGGTCAGGTTATAAAACACCTCTGCTGCTCAGTGCACAGAGCACCAGCCACAGACTGCAGAGACAGGAAATTCAGGTGACCGAAAATTCGTGCTCTTACATTTCATGACAAGAACCTTGACTTTTGTAAAGCCCAGTGGGAGAAAGGCCTGACATCTGCTAAATACTAGCATAATTCAAATCATGTGGTTACCTTAAGAATTTTAACCAAGCTGTTGTATGACCAAGCACCTCAAGTATAACAAAGAACACAGAAGCGAAACAGTAAAATTGGTGGAGCAGAGTTTAAGAGATTAAGTCCTACAGGTAGCAATAATTTTGATTATCCAGTTTTGTTCCACAGTGCAATCTCCTGTGACTGCCATTTGCATTCCATAGACATTTTCACATTCTCATCAATTCTTATTGACCACTTCTGAGTTTTACCTAGAAAAATTACTAAAAGCTAACTTCTTTGTACTACAGCACAACTCAATCAAGGTTTTTTCTAGCCAGTCATAACATTAGTCTTCAGAATTTGCTGGTTAGCAGAGAAGCAGCTTATTTATATGAGCAATCAGTGGTCACAAAGTACTGAAGCACAGAATCAGTGCAGCTAAAACTTATGAACAAGGTGCACTCTTATTCTATAGGTTATAATATCATCCACCTTTTATCAGTTCTAAAAAACATTAAAAAGAACAAATACTAAGTTCAGTATGCTTCCAGCATTCATTTCTAACTACCTAAAGCAGACATCTAATCTGAGAGAGAGAGAGATTTAGAGAACTTTTTAGCATAAGACAGCTATTTAAAGCCACAACCAAAAAGAGTCAAACATGTTACAGAAACAATGGAAGAAGAAAACTGCAAATCCCATGGAAGATCATGACTGCAAAGTCAAGAAATAATGTTACCTTCTTCTGGTAAATAATAAGGATCTTACAGTGTTCTCTATCCTGCTTGTTCCCCGTGATCCAGCTTTGTATGGAAGTGACCCAAGAAGGAGCTGGTGTGCATGCAAGACCCCAACTTGTGCAGGTGTTTACAGAGGTGGCCCTCAGCAAAACAAAACTGGGACACCTCCCCCCTCCTTCCTTCTTTGCACTTCGTGGGCCTCTTACCACGGCCTCAGACCAGTCTCAGCATTTTTCAGTGTGCACTGAATGCAAAGGCAGTACTGTAATTACTGACCAAAGAAACAGAGGTGACTAAGACAGATGCTTTCTTTTTCTAGTTTCTGGGATGACTTCAGAAAGCAGGGTAGGACAGGAAATGAAGACTTAGAAGCCGTTAATCGACTTTTACAAGTCACCAAGAATAAAGACACCAGAAATTTTCTTAGCTTTAGCCAAGTAAAATACAAAGTGTTTTTTCACAGGACAGTACCTTTTCTTCGATATCGGTGCGCTTCACCCAGGTAAAGACTTAATGAAGAATTTTCAGAGTTAAGCTTAATACTATATTGTTGACTCAGAATACCACCAAAAATGCCATCTGTGCAATAACTCAGTACTACAACTTAGTGACACATTCCCGGGGCATGAGAATTCAAGCAGCAACCTCCCTCTTCCTATTTTCTTCCCCTCCTCCCCCCGGTTTTCCCAAATTGCTTAAGAAAACACAGTCAGGATGAACAATAGAACACCACCGAGGCAGTCAAACCACCTTACCCTGTAGAACATAGATGTTATCCTTATACTCCACAGCACTGTGGAACTCCATAGCTACCGGCATGGGACACACAGCTGTCCAGCAGTTCTCCCGGCTGTCATAGCACTCCACAGACTTGAGAGAGTTCCGCCCATCTCCTTCATAAACTCTGCCCCCGATGGCATACAGCTTCCCACAGCAGTGAACCAACTTGCAGCCTATTCTGGCCCGCAGCAGAGGAGCCTTCGGAATCCACCTATTGCCAGAGTGATCGTACATCCAAAAATCACTCTCCGCTCGGTGGTCGATGGAGACCTCGCTGCTGCTCGGCCTGTAACCACCCGCAATGTAAATATCGTTATCAGGGGACACGAGAATTCCCACCTCCCTCAAGTCATTTGGTGGCTTGCATAGTTTGAACACTCTCCCTGTGACCGAATCTAAACAAGGCACTGTTTGCTTCTTTCCTGAGTGTTTGTGGGCAGCATCAAAGCAGATGATCATTTCGGAAGCGGTCATTCCAAGCCGTTGTGTGTAGCCGTTGGCACTGGGTTGTCCCTTTTGTACACAGCTTTTGGCCATCGCCTGTGCAAACACGGGAGGGATTTTCTCTAAAAATGTCTCATCCAACAGAGGCATGCGGATGCATTTGGCAAATATTTCTGGAAGGTGCACTTCTCTCTTATTTTGTTCATGCTCAAACCACCTTATAATGCTCTCATAAACATGTTCTTCTTTATCTACATTTAAATCATCACTGTTGAGGATACTTATCAGTTGGTCTTTTCTCAACTGAAGAAACTCTTGCTCTTTGGTGACACTCAGAAACTTCTTGCGAATGTAGTCTTGTGACCTGTCTTTGAGTTCCTGATGGCCATAGTGATCAGCAAAGATGAACACCCCAATGGAGTTCTGCGGGTCCAAGTGACTGATCATGTATTTAGCACACTGGTCTTGTATGGAAGGGATCTGGAAGATACTGGCTGCAGTGAACAAAGCTTGAACGTTGGCCTCTGTCAGCACTACTCTGGAGGTATATGCATAGTTCAACACTAAATGCATCGACTCTGCTTCCACACCAACGATCCGAACTTCCTTCTGGGTACTCTCGGTAAGGCCGCTCGTGAACATCGATCTGCAGAGCAACAACATCCAGCAGTTTGTCTGCAATTACCTTTAACTACAGGCACTAAATTAAATATAGTGTACAGCTAGTCCCAGTGTGTTTGAACCTCCATCAGCACAAACACATTTATCACAGGTGCTAAACTTTCCTGTTGGGATGCCTAAGTCTGAGATCATTTCTACACTCACTGAAACAAAAGTGGAACTTCTTGCTTAATTATCTCACTAACCCCATATTAAAATTCACCGAGTTTACAAGCAAAGCTCTTGACATATCCAAGTCTTTGTATTCAACGTTCAACAAGTTATATCATATGCATACTCCAGCATGCTAAAAAATGTAATTTGAAAAGAAAACAAGTAGTTTCAATATGTTCTTACTGTATCTCTGATACCCTCAGTACCAGAGGCAGTTTTGCCTGGTTTAAAATTGTGTGACATTTTCCCCAATGAAATTTTCCTTTGAGAAATAGGCACTGATAATACATTAACCTTAAGGGAACAATAATCTTGGCTTGCTAGGTGCACTGTATTATCTATAAATACACAGAACTTATTTTCATTAAATGAAAAATTAAAAAAAAAACATACCTATACTAATATTCTAATTGCTTTGATCACCACTAGAACAATGCACAGCTGTACCTGAAATAAGGACTGATTGCAGCAAGAACATTCCTATGACAGGAGAATGTTTTCCCATGATCCACTTCCACCACAATATCTGTCAGCTGTCCTTCATCATACATGGTCTTCAGCTGCTGGAGAATACTACAAGCATGGAAGGGGTCCATTCCACTGGTGACTTGGCTTGAGGGAGGAACTCCGTTCAGTGTTTGTGAAAACTGACTTGGTTCTACAAAGCAAAATTGAAATTTTAACAGAAAACAACCAACAAAAAAAGACCCTCCAAAAAAATTCACACATGTGCCAAAAACCCATGCATGACCAAGAATTATCACAAATTGATATTCCATACTTCCTCAGCATCATTATCCATTGACAGCAAGCCAAACATTATCAAGGGTGAGTAAATATATAAAAATACCTTAATACTTTTTTTTCTTTTTCACAATGCACTTGTCAGTTACCATTCAACTATAAAGTTTATACCCCTATAAAGTTCATATCCATTAAGGAAAACAATACAAATACTTCATACAAGTGGGGAAGGGGAAATCAAGTCAAGAAAAACAACACTTAACTGTAACAAAAAAGGGACACAGAGGAATAAAATAAGTCCCCAACCTACTTCACCATTACACAAGTCTGCATGTAAATATTTAACTTCACATTGAAACAGGAACTGGCTCCTGCCTTACAGGAGCAGTGGCTCATGAAGAAACAGCCCCACAGTAAGTCCACTGGGAAACAAACTTAAACTCACATAAATTTGTACATACAGTTACATGTTTTCTCGACACATAAAACTGAATTATAATTTGAAATTTCTCAGGTGTGAAGGAGCTCATATATCACCGTGGAAACATATTTAGTAAAGCATATGCTACTAAATAACATGTGATAAACCTAATGAAGCAAATCCCAAAGTGAAAATTGAGCAATAGCTCAAGCACAAAAATCTGTTTCGCAATAGCAGCAAAATTTTTACGCAACAACAACAACAAAGGAGAGCTCAAAAGAAAAACATGAGGTGGCAAGAGCTGCAAATCAGGTAAAGCTGCTGACTGCAACAGAGTGCTTCCAACAAAATTTAGGCAACACAAAGGGGCAAAGAGGAGAGAGAGCACACCCATTTTCATAGAAGCCTTTCATCAACACCGCTTCCCTCTCCCGGCTGCGCCCCCCTCCCACAGCAGGGGGGTCCCTCATGGGACAGCCTCCTTCCACCCTAACACAGCACACTGCCTCCACACCCCCTCTGCCACACAGCCCCGCTCAGGAGCCCTCTCCCCTCACGCCATCACCTCCTACACCGAGCACCGCTGCCCCTCCCAGCCCGGGCACCCCCGAGCCCCCTCACGCGGTGCTGCCCCCAGCACAGGCCCGAACCCCCCCAGACACCCCTCAACACACAAGCCCCGATACCCTTCACCAGGACCCCCCCCTCTGGCACCGAGCGCTCCCCTGTCGCCCCGCACCGACCTCCCAGCGCTGCCATCCTGGGCCCCGCTCGGGCAGCGGCTCCGGGGGCGGCCCGGCAGGAAATGTCACCGCACCGCTTCCCCCGCTCACCGCCGGCCGCGCACCCCGCAGTATCAACAACACCGATTGGCCGCTGTCCCCACCGGCTGCCGGGATATGTAGTGCCGGCTGGCCGCCTCCGGCACGCGGGACCTGCCGGGAGTTGTAGTCCCTCCACAGCGGGATGCCTGGGAGTTGTAGTTCTCGGGGGGAGGAGGGCCCTGCCGGTCGCGTAGCAACGAGGCGGCGGCGCCTCCGGGCTAGCCGCCATTTTGGGCCTTCGGGCAGGGCCGTGTGGGCAGCTCCAGCGCCTTGTCCCGGCGGTTTGGAGCCTGTTCCCTCCTCACCAGGGACACAGGCAGAAATGGCTTCTCCAGAGGAGTAATTACCCCCAACAGCCCCAGTCCCTGCAGTTCTCTGTCCGCGCTGAGCTGTGGTTCCTGGGGAGAGGCCTGGCTCAGGGAGCGGAGGTGTCACCCAGGGATGGCTGCCCAGCAGAGCTGCCACCACCATCACTGCTGAAAACCGGCAGGAAGGGTCACAGAAATGCCTGCCAGTCTCCTAATGCTGCAAGGATGTGCTGAGGGGCAGGGGAGCCTCAGGATGTGAGGCTCATAACTGTGCGAGGTTAAATTCGCCTTTAATAGAAACCAATAACCAGCTACTTGGTCTGTTACACCAGGAATATTCTTAATTTTTCCAGGATTGGTAACCCCAGCATGCTGTGGGCAATCAAATCAGCCCTTACGTGGCCACAGAGCTGCTGGATGACTGCAGCACACAAGGGACCGTTTTGTTGCCCCTGACTTTTAATATCACAAAGCACATTTCTGTCTCTATCCCAGAGGTCAAGCACATGATAGTCACCAGGTTTCCCAGTTTTCTGCATTAATTAGCCATTAGTCTCACTGTTGGGAACTATGACATTATCAGGCATTTGCTGTGGCAGAGGTTTTGAGGTTTTTCCTTTGTGAAACACAATTAATGAAGAATTAAGTAATGGAAGTAAAATCGTGTATATTTTTCCTGGTTTTACACAAAATAGATTTAATACAGCTTCACAGCTTTTAGCTGGGAAGTTTTGTTCAGAAAAAAAAAAAAAAAAGCTAATAAAACCAATTTGAATAATATTTTTAAATTAATTTCCCATTGACTCTCAGAAATGAGTAGCCTGAGTACATGACCACTTCTCTAAAGCAGGTGAATTTAAAGGCAGTGCCACCCCGCTGGTTTTACTTTTGCTTGCAAGGCACAGCCTTCCCCTCACTCAGCAATTATCAGTGGTGTCCAGGCTGCTCCGATGATAATGCTGCACAATGCAGGAGTGATGGAGACTCTGATGAAGGAGGTGTAAAAGAAAATAGAACTTCACGTCTGCAAATCGATTCTGCAGTTTTCCAATTTCCCCATTCAGCAATGGCACGGCCTGTGAAATTGTCCCTAGAAATCTAAAACGAAGGGATGGAGGATTCCTCTACTCTTACCCTTTAGCAAATGACATTGCCTGATACAGTTCATTTCTTTCGGTGTGGGCTCGTAGGCCAGGCTGGATTAGTGTTAAAATGCAGAAGCTAAAATGTGGAATGTTTTTTAATACAGATCCCGCATTGAACTGGCACTTTGGAGCATGAGCCTTTCTTGAAATAGCTTTCCTTTCTATGGTTTTTGGTGAAGCAAGTAAATTGCCATACAAACAGGTTTAGATGTGCTTTAAGAGGCATCAATCGCAGCACTTTTGCTAAGGCTGAAGCCTTTCTCAAGAGGAATAACATCATCACCCTCTCCCCACCCTGGAAACCTCCATTAGCACTCTTAGGATGTAGCACTCCCATGGAAGTCAGGGGATCTGGATTTTTCACCCAATTCTTCTCTGAAGAATGAGATGTTTTGCCTGTGCAAGCTGCTCTGAAATCCATGACAGTCACACACCATGTTAGAGCTTCATATAAATGGCATTTGCATTACACACAAATATTTGAGCCTGTTCTTTCAGAAATTACAAGATGCTTAAAGAATTCCCTCACCCTTCTGCTGCATCATTTTCTTTCTCCTGTCATTGTTTTGTCTGTGAAATGATGAAGGCCCATATTTGAGTGTAGAAGAGAAAAATTGGGTTCTTAGCTTGATGCTGCCACAAATTTCTTCATGCTGTTGATCAAATAATTTGATTTCATGACGTCTGGCTTCCCAGGAGACAATGGGGAGCTGTGAATAGATATATTTATGTAAATCCTTTTATAACAGATTTTGGTATGTATTTTAATATTTTTGGTACTTTTTTTTTTTTTAGATCTTCTGGCAGCAATGCACTGAAACCTCTTTCAGGATTTTGAAAGGATTCAAAGTCCTTGTTATGGAGGGACTGGGATGCTTTCACTTGTGCTTTAATTTCACACCTAATTTATCATTCCTGGAGATAGAGCTTGAAAACAAACACCTAATGGCAAAATTTTCCCATTTGATATTCTAGAGGTTCAAAATAAAAATGAAATTATGTCAGCTAATAAGGAACGCAGAGTCTATGTCTGTCTTTTATAAGTGATTAGAGAGATTTGACTCCTTATAGACTAACAATTGGGACTGTGTTCTGGGATTCTTTCCTTCAGAATGAAAATGTCTTTGTCATGAGCTCAAGAGAGAAAAGAGGAAAAGGAAAAGGGTTCAGGTGACAAAATACAAACTTTTTCAGATATTTGAGGGCTTAGAAGATATCCATAAAAAGAGTGAGCAAACAATGAAGTTATTGAAAAGGTTTTCCTTTGTCATTGCACCTGCAGAAAACTGGTTCATCTGGTTTCCTTCAACACAGGGACAGAGAGAACATCATATCTATGAAATGGTTGGTTTAGCTCACCTGGAAGGAACCTTCCCCAGTGCTCCTGCTGCACAAGAGAGGGTGCACAGAGCACTTTTGGAACTGGCAGCTCTTGCCTCACAGTATGAGGTGTGTAGGAAACTTCCCATGTTTTCTCTCATCAGCAAAATGAAACCAAGAAATGCAACCAGACCAAAATTTAAAGAAAATGTGAACCAGGGTTGCAGCTTTAAAAGAGAATGAATACACGTGAATATTCTCATTTTCATTCTGGATATTATGTTTACTTTAAATATAAAGTTGTTGGAGGAAATCACTGCATCCTGTTTTCCTTTATTTCCTTTGTCCTTTTCTGTTTTTTTCACTGAAAAGAGGGAATCATGAAAGGAAGGCACAGCCTATCTCCACATGTGCCAAATAGCCTGAAGAGAGAAAACCAAGGGCTGCAGAAGGTCTATAGTTTTTCATGACAACATTATGAATGGTGGCATTTTTCATGACTCGAGTTTAAACAAGCAAACAAAAATCCCACCAAAATAACCCCACAGTGATTTCCAGCAAAATTGTTTACCTATAAAATTTAAATACAAACTAGTAAAAAACCCCCAGTATTACTTGCTAACTCCCAAATATGTCTCAATTACTATTTACAGTTCTTCAGTTATTTGTACCTGTTAATTTGCACTGTGACACTGTGAGAAGCAATAGAGCTGATGTAGCTCCAAAAACCCCTCATATTTTAATTGGAAAAATCTTGGTATTCACTGTGGAACAATCTAACCTTGAAAAACAATCTTTTACTAGGTTGTCTTTAATGCATAAAACACTGCTCATTTTCTGCAATTCTGTCACCAAGGGGCACATTAATTTAGTTGCACAATAATTTAATACATCGATCCATTGATTGAAGCAGAGAGGTTTTTGTTTAGCGGTTCCAAGAAATCACACATTTCTTGCAGAATCCGTAAAAAGACAGTTCTGGCTGCAGTTTAAGTAGGGGGAATTGCAGATCATGAGGGAAAGTTGCCCTTCAAAGCCAATCGATGCCACCACACTGAGCACAGTGGGCGTTACATCAGCAGAGAGGGCAGGCTGGCAGGGGGCAATTAATGGGGCAGATATCAGAGTGCTTCCCTCGTTACCCCATACCGGACACTGGGTCCGGCCATGCTGAGCCAGCCTGGTAGAAACAAGAACCCTGATGAGATATGGCTCTGCTAATGTCAAGAAGTGCCACTTCCTAGCAGCAGGAGCAACTTTATTGAAACCATCTGTTGTTTTGGAAGACACATGTGCACGCACACTCATACTTCCTCCTCCCAAAGTCTTTAACCTTTCTATTAAGGCTGGCTGAAATCGCAGAGCTAATCCCTCCTTAATCTCAGAATGACAGGCTCTGCTGTGGTCAGCAAGTCCCAGCAGCTGCTGCAAACCAGGGTGACTGGTGCCATTTAGGTGACGTGACAGTGATGTATCCTGGAGCAGTCACTGCAGAACAAAACAGCCGTTCTTCCACTGTCAAAATAAAGTTTGGCAGGAGTAGTGTATGAAAAAGAGAAGGCTGGGGTACCTGCACCGAGACATGAACTCAGTGCTCTGCTGGATCTCACTGCTCTATGCAACACAGGGAACAGGAAGAAGAGACTGAGAGAGTTTGGTTCCCCTGAAAACCTTATTTTTCAGCAGGTATAACCCAAAGCCATCTGAAAGGGCAGAGCCCTGTTCCAGCTTGTCAAGTCTCTAATCATCAGTTTTACAGTGATCCTTCCTTAAGGCACCAGGATCTTTAAGCTTCTCA